ATGGTATATGTGAAAGACTAAACGGTACAATTAAAGCTCTACTGGCCAAAATTACCACAGACAACCCTGACAGCTGGGACATGATGCTACCATGTGTATTATTTGCTTACAGAGAGATCCCGCAATCAACCACAGGGTTCTCACCATTTGAGTTGGTTTATGGAGCAAACCCTAGAGGACCAATGGATATACTGAAACAGCTTTTGTGTAAAAAAGACGTCAATAACGATGTGCGAACCACATATGAAACCGTGGTTAATGCAAGAGAAAGTATAATAAAGGCTTGTCAAGAAGCAAAGTTAGCACTGCAGGAAAAAGGAGACATTGCTAGACATAGGATCAACCAGCACAGAAAGTTAAGACAGTTCAGTGTAGGTGAACAAGTTAGAGTGTTGTTACCATGTAAACATAACAAGCTACAGCTGGCGTGGCAAGGACCGTTCCCTATCACTCGAAAAACAACAGATGTTGACTATGAGATAGAAATGAAAGGGAAAAAGAAAATCTTCCATATCAACATTCTAAGTCCATTTACTGTCAGATCAGAAGATTTTCATAGACAAGAACCGGCGATAATCAACTGTGCCCTCATTTCAGATCAAGAAGACAACACAGAATGCCACACCCCAATTTACACTTTCCCTACAGGACATGAGTCATGGGAAGATATTAAAATAGGTAACCTGCCCACACAAGCCAAGCACAAAGTCATGACAATATTAGAACAATTTAAAGATGTACTGTCGCCCAAACCAGGCAAAACTGAAACCATATCGCATGATATCAAGCTGTTACAAGACAAACCAATTAAATTAAGCCCCTACAACATTCCGTTACATCACAGGGAACATGTCAAACAAGAAATCAATGAATTACTAGAATCTGGAATAATTAGCCAGTCGGAGTCCCCATATGCAGCACCAATAGTACTTGTTAAGAAGAAAGATGGTGGAATTCGACTATGCATAGATTACAGACATTTAAACAACATCACTATACCCGACGCTGAACCGATGCCAAACCCAGAAGAACTGTTCGCTAGACTAAGCCATGCCAAATACTTCACAAAACTAGACCTTTCCAGAGGCTACTGGCAAATACCAATCAAGGAGGATGTGAAACACCTAACGGCATTCATAACGCCTTTTGGTTTGTTTCAGTGGAATTACATGAGCTTCGGCTTGATGAATGCACCAGCGACGTTTAACAGACTCATGCGGAAAGTGCTGCATGGGCGGGATGATGTTATATCCTATCTCGATGATATTTGTTTATTTCATACAACATGGGAAGAACACAGTAAAGGATTGGAAACGCTACTAAAGCTGCTGCAGACACACGGCCTTACAGCAAGGCCTAGCAAAGTAGAGGTTGGCATGGAAGAGATCCAATTTCTAGGCCACACAATATCACAGGGAAAACAACAACCCATTCAAGACACGGTGAACAGAATTTTACAGTTACAAGTACCTACGACTATAAAAGAAGTCAGAAGCCTAATAGGATTATGTAGCTATTACAGGAAATTTATCAATAACTTTGCCATGATTGTTGAGCCATTAACCAACTTAACAAGAACAAACCAGAAGCAAAACACCACTAAGAAAAGTAAAAAGTTGGAATGGACTGAAGCGTGTGATAGAGCTTTAGCACAGATAAAAGCCGCCTTCATGTCGGAACCGATTCTGAAATTACCAAACACAAAGAAATTATTCACGTTGGCCACAGATGCGTCATCGGTGGGCATTGGCGCATGTCTAATGCAAGAATTTGATGGGGACCTGCACCCAGTGATGTATGTCAGCAGAAAACTGACCCCGGCAGAGAAAAACTACGCGGTCATCGAGCGTGAATGTCTGGCTGTTGTTTGGGCGGTACAAAAACTATCAAAATACCTCGCAGGTGCACACTTTGAATTACAAACAGACCACACACCATTAAAGGCCCTCAATCAAAAGAAATTATCTAACGCTAAACTCACTCGCTGGGCGCTAAGTCTACAAGACTACCAGTTCACAGTTGTTCCTATCCCGGGTACACACAACCGACTGCCCGACATATTGTCAAGAAATTAATTCCTCTAGATCACACAGTCACAGGCAGAGAGCTGCTCCTGCACTACAGATATGTGACAAGGAACACGCACATGTTTTTTTTTCTTTCTCTTTATGTAATCTACGATTTTTGTGTATGACTTTAGTATAGATAATTATATTTGGATTGTTATTATGTGTATTATGTAGTGTACCTCGGACAAATAACCAGCACATCAAAATTTGGTGGGACGATTGTTTATAAGAGGAAGGTTATTTGTCTGACGGGCACAAACGTCGCTAACGAGGCATATGTTTAATACGACGTGTCAATTCATATTTTCTCAGAAACAACCATGAGAGACGTATCCTTGCGCTGCCGCCCTCGCCAATGTCATCGTAAAACTAACTCGTCGACAACAAATACCAAGTTTCTAAATTTGCTACAGCAAACGACAGCACATTTACAAGGACAAATACACATAACGTCATCAAGGACACTACAACATAAGCAGATCAGCCGAACAACACATCGACAGGAGCAGTTCATCAGATCAACACATCTACAGGAGCAGTTCATCAGATCAACACATCGACAGGAGCAGTTCACCAGATCAACACATCTACAGGAGCAGGTCAGCAGATCAACACATCGACAGGAGCATTTCACCAGATCAACACATCGATAGGAGCAGTTCACCAGATCAACACATCGATAGGAGCAGTTCACCAGATCAACACATCATCGACTGGACAAGCAGAAACAGAACTTCGTGAAATATCTTTTAAGCCTGAGAATCCTTGCGCACGGTCGCGTTCAGTTTTTCGACCAAGCCGCAACGGTCAATTAAGTGTGGGTATCAGTGAAAAAAAAATTCATAGGGATCAATCAATCATAGCTTAAGGAAGACAACGGATGTTCAAGAACTGTGACATTACTTGATTGTTGAAATGTATTATTATGTAAATTACTATATTATGAGTGTATTGGTATAATATGTACTTTATTCATCGTTGTATGTTACACAGTTATTGATACAAGTTACTGCCTATAGAAAAAAAGCTAATATAATTAGCTTTTTATTTGAAAGGGGGGAGGAATATGTGGTGGCGTAGATGCAGGTGTAGGATAGACAGTGTACGTGACGGAGACGATCGACGAAGCACGGGTTAGAATTAGATTGTAATTACGGGCGACATCATTGTGGGGGGTAGGTGTAGCAGACACGTATCTAGTTAGCCTTGGTGACCGGAATGGGGGTAGTTTATTAGCAGGGTCTGACATTTTAATCAGGTACGACAGAACTGTGGCGACATGCAAATTAGGTTAGACCGGATGGGGAAGACAAAGAAGTGAGGACGATGAGGGTTAGGAGACAGTGGAATCTAGGCAGTCGAGGTTGAGACTTTGTAGTGAGAGGACGGATACAAGTGTAGAGTTAGGGAACAGCGTAGGAACAATAGTGTAGGAAACATTGAACAGTAGGTGTAGACAAGAAGTATATATTGTGTTAAGCATCGGATGTGTAATAAGTAAAATACTGTGAATCAAACTGATATTCGAGTTGTCTTCTTTACTGTACGGATATGAGAGTTCTCGTCCTCGTCACCGTAGTTAACTATATGTGGAAACTAGTAGAAGAATAACAAGAAGAATAGAGAAAGCAAGCAAGTTCCTCCCACCACACAACCTATTGTATCCATAGCCTATTGGACTGTTTGAACGTAGGCGCCATGGTGCTCACGGGTAAGCCCGAGGCGCCAAATCGCAAACTACCGGGGCGCCGGATTCGATTATTGTTGCTCGTCGTGTCTTTAGTGTACAGCCTTTAAAAAAAAAAAAACGAACGATAACGCCATAGTGCTCACAGCCCCCTCCCCCCCCCCCACGCGTATGTATACTCTAGTGGAAGGACCTCTATAGATAAAATAATTCAACGACTTATATCCGATACAAAAATATAAAATTGAGTGTAATCAATGGTTCCCAAACGGCTTTAATTTTTAAAAATTTAATATAAGCCGTTGAAAACCCGTTTAGAATTATTATATCAATTCAAATATTTTCCAAAATGGCCCTCAATTTCTCCTTGAAGTCAATCGGTATCAGCCGGTATGGCCAGGGAGAGTAAAACAATAAAAGTTAAAACAATTGTTTTCCATGATAAAAATACACAATAATGATCTATGGTGATTAGCGTAGTATTGTATTTATATTAAATAATATAATATACCTAATCACCACAACACCCTTACTCTACTAATCCAAATTAAAAATTATAATATTGTATCACCAGTAATTATTTGATTGATAGCCTTAACAAAACCGGAAGTGATGTTATACTTATTACACAATAAATGTTACAAAATATTCAATTTTGGTTGAAAAATATGCTTTCTGGCAACAAAAGTTTGGAACAATTTGGAACCAGCTTTTCAAGACTATTCCTTATTCTAGTTCCAGTTCCCATAAAATTTTAACTATATTTTTTTCATTAACTGAGGTCTCTAGGATATTTTAAAATAAATGCTAACCGCATTAGTAAGCTTAATCATTTGAAGTGTGGTTCATAGCAAAAATTCAATGTAGACCTATAGCTTTTCATTCATTTCTTCATTTTCATAAATAGCTTGTAATAAATACATTCAAAACATTGATTTTCTAATTATTATTTAAAATTGTATGTTTCAAATGTACTTGACTTTTGTAATATATTAATTCATTGTAAATAAATAAAGTTAAAATAAGTTAAGGGTAAGTAAATAATAGAATCCATAAGAAATAACAAATATATACGCCTAGATCTACTACTTGGTTTAAGACTAAACAATATAACCCTTTTCATTTCAAATAAATATTGACCAACATGTTTAAGTCAATAGAGACCTATGCCACATAAATCATCTCTGAATACCTAAAAATGTAACGACAACTGTCAACCTTGGCCACACCAGACGATTACTCACCCAAGTTCAAGTCTGCTGACCTGCTCGTCACAATGCTCAACATGGCCATGCAAGCCGCTAAACAAATGAGCTTCATCTCCAGATGTGACGTCAGCGCTAATTATCTACATCAGGCTAATGACGTGAGGCTACACACACGGACATCCTGTTGGGGGGTGTCCGCCCCAGCCCGTCACACGAACATATCACACATCACATATCACACATCAGACACCAAACGACGGCAGCAACTACTGGTTTCTGAACTTGGCCGCAGTTCTAGTGGCCCAGCTTTTGGTGCCTCTCACCGCTGGCAGACGACTTAGATCCGGCACGCGTGGTCGCTGGTTGTCCCGCCCCTCCGTTGTTTGGTACTTGTCACTCGTGATTGTTGCCCTGGTCGGTCAACCGTGACCAGCGCTTGCCAGTCTCGTCCAGCCCAGCCTAGCCCCGGGCGCTGAACTAGCCCAGCCCCGGGCGCTGAACTAGCCCAGCCCCGGGCGCTGAACTAGTCCAGGATATGATGACGTGAAGTTGACAAACATTCATAGACACGCAAATCAGATTTAAAAATATCTCTCCAAAGTTTACTTTGGCCAGGATTTCGCCGGACCGCAGCAATTAGAAAATTACACGTGTTGACATTAGTGTGTGGATGACATGTGTTGACATCAGTGTGTGGATGACATGTGTTGACATCAGTGTGTGGATGACATGTGTTGACATCAGTGTGTGGATGACATGTGTTGACATCAGTGTGTGGATGACATGTGTTGACATCAGTCTGTGGATGACATGTGTTGACATCAGTGTGTGGATGACATGTGTTGACATCAGTGTGTGGATGACATGTGTTGACATTAGTGTGTGGATGACATGTGTTGACATTAGTGTGTGGATGACATGTGTTGACATCAGTGTGTGGATCATTACTCGCCTACATCAAAGCTCATCCATTGAGTAAAAATTGCTGCTTCTCATTTTACAAGCTTCTCTAGCATAACCATAACTGTTTCAAACAAGGTTGACCAAGAAAACTTTACCGTGACTGTTTCAAACAAGCTTGACCAAGAAAACTTAACCGTGACTGTTTCAAACAAGCTTGACCAAGAAAACTGATTTACAGAAATGGCATCGTGTTCGAGTCACTATAAAAGATTATCCCTACAGAGGCAAGAAATGACCGAGGAGCTGTCTATGGATGTCATTGTTGGAAACTCGTGTAAGTCCCGATGTAACCAGTGCAAACCAAACACTAGTCTTGTTGGTGTTTTTTACTTTCTCGAGTCTGGTGGTGGTGGTGGTGGTGTGTGTGTGGGGGGGGGGGTATTCTAATCGTACAAAAACAACCGCCGATTTATGCCTGTCTGAATGGGAAGATTCCAGTTTTACAATCTTGGCTGTGTGTGTGTGTCCGTACCTGTATGTGCCCCCTGTGTTTCCCTGTATGCGCCCCCTGTGTGCCCCTGTATGTGCCCTTTAGAATATGATAATTTCATATCATATTCTCATATTTTTTGCTTGTAAGTGTTTTCTTGGGAAAAAAAAGCATTTAATAACATGCTTTAATGTAATAATGCACTAAAAAGGAGAAAACTACAAATAAAAAAATATCCTAATATATAAAAGCCCATGTAGCACTTCTCTCTGTCCGCAGGCTATGAGATCCGTATGTTCAGCGATATATGGAGAACTTAAAGATACGGAAAATATTATTATTATTATTATTATTATATCCAACATATTATTAATATGTTGGATGTTTTAAATGTATAAACTAAATTTTATTTAAAAAAGGAAAATAAAAACAAAGGCATATTCGAATGTAGTCATATTTTCTTAATTATGCAACCGGAAAGTGTTAATGATGTTACAAGAACGCAAAAAAAAACAAAACAACTATGACGTCACAGAATATGAAGAAATTAACTTTTTTTTTTCAAATTTGATTTAGATCTAAAGATCTACTTATCAAGACGTGGGGCCTACGCTATGAAATGTATACCATTTTCTCGGCCAAAACTAATACAAATTTCTTTTTAAAAAATAATTCACGTGAAACTGGTACCAAATACCCATAGCTAGTATTATAATACTCTACTATTTAAATAACTATGATAAATCTTGGATACTTTTACTAATATTTAGGAAGCGACCTATGCTGTACATTTTGTGTCATACATTCAGTGTGTGACGTCACAAGTTCATTATTGAGGTTAATGTTTTGGTCGGGTGAGGTATGTGACGTCACAAGTTCATTATTGAGGTTAATGTTTTGGCCGGGTGAAGTATGTGACGTCACAAGTTCATTATTGAGGTTAATGTTTTGATCAGGTGAAGTGCATCACGCCGACATTTCTGGCATAGCGATAGCATAAGTGAGCGCCCTTTTAACGGGACACCCCCCCCCCCCCCCACAGAGGGCGCGACAACTGGGGTGTGAAGATCACCCCAAGACAAAGTGCTTGAGCGATATGCCAGATAAATCTGGTGGAGACGTAGCCTCGTTTTTCTAGACTGTTCGGCCATCTTGAATACGTTCTAACATCCATGGTCCTAATGTGTCATAATATGTCCTAATGTGTCCTTATAAGTCATAATATAAGTCCTAATATGTCCTACGACAAAATTTTCGCGTGATGATCGAAGCCTGGTTATCGATTGGTCAGAGGAGCTAGGTCTTGTATTCATCGATTGGTCATCGATTGGTCAGAGAAGCTAGGTCTTGTATTCATCGATTGGTCAGATAAGCTAGGTCTTGTATTCATCGATTGGTCAGAGAAGCTAGGTCTTGTATTCATCGATTGGTCAGATAAGCTAGGTCTTGTATTCATTGATTGATCAGAGAAGCTAGGTCTTGTATTCATCGATTGGTCAGAGGAGCTAGGTCTTGTATTCATCGATTCTATCGAGGTCCGAGATTTTGCCGAGTCAACCCTCTGAAACCACTAACCGACATTTCCTAATTGCAGCTCAGTTGAAGCTTTATTAGGCAGGGATGGTCCCACGTTGAAGCTTAGTCTAGTTGAAGCTTAGTCTGGCCATTATGGTCTAGTTGAAGCTTAGTCTGGCCATTAGGCAGGGATGGCCCCACGTCATTAAGGTCTAGTTTAAGCTTAGTCTGGCCATTAGGCAGAGATGGCCCCACGTCATTAAGGTCTAGTTGAAGCTTTGGCTCCCCATAAGGTAAGGCCACCAGTTGGCCATGAGTGTCAGGTGGGCGGTTCCAGCTGGATAACGCCAGAACAAACAGTGCGAGATATCAACACAAGTGTTCCTGTCACAGGAACTCGGGCAAGTCTCCAGATTTTAAACTGCTGTAGTGCTGGAACAAGTCTCTAGATTTTAAACTGCTGTAGTACTGGGGCAAGTCTCCAGATTTTAAACTGCTGTAGTAATGTACTGGAGCAAGTCTCCAGATTTTAAACTGCTGTAGTAATGTACTGGGGCAAGTCTCCAAATTTTAAACTGCTGTAGTAATGTACTGGGGCAAGTCTCTAGATTTTAAACTGCTGTAGTAATGTACTGGGGCATGTCTCTAGATTTGTAACTGCTGTAGTAATTTATTGGGGCAAGTCTCTAGATTTTAAACTGCTGTAGTAATGTATTGGGGCAAGTCTCTAGATTTTAAACTGCTGTAGTTTTCTGACGTTATTAATATTTTTTTTAAAAGGATCACGCTTCTAAAGGAATTTAGAAGACTTTAAAAGCTGGTTCCAAATTTTTGTTTCCAGATAGCGTTTTTTCTCAACCAAAATTGAATATTTTATAACATTTGTATAATAAGTATTACATTACTTCCGGTTTATTAAGGCTAGAAATAGTCCAACAAATAATTACTAGTAATATAATAGAAATGTAGCTAACACTTTTATTATTAATTTGGATTAGCCGAGTAAGGGTGATAGGGGATGGTATATTATTTAATATAAATACAATACTACGCTTTACACCATAGATCACTATTGTGTAGGGTCGGCGTGGTCGAGTCGGTAAAGCTCATGGTTGCTAAACCGAAAAAAAAAGTCTCGAGTTCGAACCCCCGGGCAGATGAGGCTCGTTAGTTGGGGACAGCCACTCTTCTAGGAGAGACAACTCTAAAATCAAACAACTGCTGCCTTGAAGCAGTGGCGGAACTAGAAAAAAAGGGCCACCCCGCAAAAACATTTTTTGGGCCCCCCCATATATATATATATATATATATATATATATATATATATATATATATATATATATATATATATATATATATATATAATATATAAACACAAAATACGAACATAGAGTAATCATTGCTGCCCTGTTTGGGTTTTTAAAAATGTTTTTTTTTAATTAGAACAAATTACAACATAATTCATGTGTTTAAGTGATTGGTGTTTTTTTTTTGGGGGAAAATCAGTTATATTTTATTTCTGCTGTAAGGCCTTCTAACTTATAGTCGGTGAAAAGAATATAAATCATGAAAGCTTTGTATAAGTAATGGTGTCTCGTGTTATGTTTATTTTAACGTTTTTTTAATTTATTTTATTAATTTTAAATACATTTCCTTTTTGTACAATGTCACTTTTTAGTAAGTATTTTTATTAAAAAATCATAATTAAGAGAAGTAATTGCTTTTTAATTTGTTTAGTACAATCTATTAAAAGGAGCTTATGAGCATCACTATTTGACTATTTATAAAGGGAAATAAGTCATGGTAGTGGTTTGAGCGTTTGCTTATCTTTGATAAGTTTGATTGTAGGAGAAAGAGGACTCGGCTTTCACAGTGGTTTAAAAAAAGGGAAAAAGAATATAAAAGTGCGTGGGGTGGTGTCTATAGAATAAAGATAACCGGACCGCAGTTACGGTATTCTTTTTACAAAACAACCATGAAGTCGAAAATGCAAAGAAAATTAATTTTTTTAACAATTTTTTTTTATTATGGTCGGCTGTGGGCCCCTAAATGGCGTGGGCCCCCCCGCATTGCGGGGTCTGGCGGCACTGTAGTTCCGCCCCTGCCTTGAAGTTTGTTCTTGGTTGGACAAAGGCTATGGAAGCAAATCCAAAAAGAAAAGCAGGCTGAAATCGGAGTCAATGGCCTCAATGGCGCATAACCAATTGACACGTAATCCTTAATTTTGATGGAAGCATGGTCGAGTCGGCAAAGCTCATGGCTGATAAATTCGAAAAGTCTCGAGTTCAAACCCTCTGGCAGATAAGGCTCAATCCTTCCCAACACTAAAAAT